GCACTGTCCTTGGAGTATGCACATAACGTTCAAATTGCAGCTACAGATCCTGAGAGGAAAAGAATCGTAGTGTTCACCTTGGCTTCCCCACAGAGCGAAGAGCACAGCCCATTGCCTCCGGTGGTTTTTGGAAATGGCCCTCACTGAACGGGATATGGATTTTCAACTTTGCTGCTTCTTTGCTTTCAGGAAAATTTTATAACATAGGAGACCAGAGGGGCCATGGAGAAGATCACTGCCAATTTGTAGACTCATTCTTAGATGGAAGGACAGGACAGCAAGAAGATCTGCCAGTCAAAGACGGTAATTCCTCACCCCTGTCTCTAGCAAACCTTGGCAATTCCTGTGTTTGTGTGTTTCTTCTTCCTGCCGGTGGATTCAGTGCCCACTGCTGGGCTGGGCTGGGCGATGGAGAGGCACTACCAGCTTTGCAGGCAGAAGAGAGTCGAGAAGTTTTTGAAGATGAGCAATGGCTTATTAAAAGAAGGTTATGACTGGGGTTCTGTTAGGTAGTAAACAGCCTCTCTCTTGTTTAAAATGTTCCAACAAATTATTTGCAGTTGGTATTACATATTTACCCAACCACAAATTGGAGTTTGCAGAGAGGCATGAAGTGTTATGTTCAAACTAGCAAGGTTGATTTAAAGTGCAGTAAATCATCAGCGGGGCATTCAACAGCTTTGTTTAGTGCTAATGAGAAACTAAGAAGTTATTACTGGAAAATATAATTCATGCTGCAGTAATTCTGTGTGCGCTAATTTGAACCGGGTGCCTAGAATTCCAGTCTGGTCTAAGCGGGCATGGGACTGGATGTCCGAAACGCAGCTGTGGCCTGCCTGCCTATTTTTCACATGGTTCTGAGGCTCGAGCATGAGAAAACTGTACGTCCGTCAGCTGAACCCCCGCCTTGCGTGTTTGCAGCAGTGCCAGCGTGAGGGATTCCATCCCCGCGTGAGGCAAGAACGCGGGCTGTATTGATACACGCGTGCACGCCGCGTGCGTCGTGGAATGTTGTGCTGAGAAAAATATCAAAACGGTTTTCGGTATGATATCGGTGTGTTGCCCAAACCTTCCCGTCTGTAGGGCTTCATTTATAAAACACCTTACAGCGGTACAGAAATGCATTCTGGTAGCTGTGGGAGAGTAAAGTGAAGTGCCTAAATCTTCCCCAAGTGATTCAAAAAAAAAAGTAGGTGAATGATCTGAAAGGTGTTTGCTTATGTCATTTTTGTTTGTTTGTTTGTTTTCTTTACAAAGAGGGCTTTGCTTTTTCTTTCCCAGTCAGTGTTGCCCCTTTGTAAAGGTATTGTGTTTGTGTAAGGGATTTTCTGAATCCAATTTGGCATTGCCAGGACAGCAGACCTCTTGGTCGTACCAGATTCACTTTTTTAAAAAAGATTTTATAAATAAAAAAACTTTTTCTATAAAAAGCTCACTACCCCAGCTTAAAAGACATTTAAAACCAATTTGTTTTCAGCAACTGGATTTAATTGAGTGGATTCATGAGCTACAGTTTTAGAAAAAAAACAAAACCAAAAACATAACAAACAAAACGATCAAAAAGCCCCCCCTTTTCTGTAGCTTACATTTCAGTAAATGAAGTGAACAGCGGGAAGAGCAGACATTGCCCATCGCTGCTCAGTTCCTCCCTGGCTGCAGTGAGTTCTGTTCCAGCCAGAAGGAGCTGCGTGCGTTTGACCTGAGGCGCGGGGGGGGCACCCTGGCTGCTGTTCCCTGTTAGTTGCAGAACGGCATTTTGCGTGTGTCTGCGTGTGCACACGCATGCTTTAGCCACACGTACATTTCTGATGATTAGGTTGGATTCAGCACTAATTGCTCACTTTAATTTTTAAGCTAACGTTAATTGTTTGAATGGGAAGCACACATATTGTCAGAACGGATCTAAAGCAGGAGGTACGCTCTTTCGCTTGGGGATGAGGAGATAGTGTGAAATACCCCCGACAACTGTCACAGTTTAGTAGGTTCACTGGAGCGCTACGGCTGCTGCAGCAGGGACGAGTTGATCATGTAACTTGGCACGGAGGAGCAGCCTCCTGTCCGAGCAGACCCCGCAGCAGGCAGAGGGGAGACAGAGGGACGCTGCCCTGGCCCTGCCAGCACCACGCAGGGCTGGGTGCCGGGCGCACACGCCCCAGGGGAGGCAAGCGTCACCTCTCCCGCGCTGGGCTGCAGCATTCCCACAGCTTGGGTGGAGGAACACCGGCTGTTTCAGCATGCTGAGCGATGTAGGGGCAGCAGGCAGGCCCCTTTGTGGCAGAGGGGTTAGCAGCTCAGTGACTGGTTTGGCCATTAATTGAAGCGCGTACAGACTTCACAGGGGAATCGGAGGAAGGTGCTGTCTGAGGGCTTCCTGCAAACAACGCTCTGTTCTCTGTTCCAGGGTTTTTCAGGGCAGTTCGTCAGGAGCCGGTCAAATTTGGAAAAATAGGCGGGGAGACTCACATTAACTACGTTCGCTGGTACGAGTGTGGCACATCGATACCTGGGAAGTGGTAGAGGCGACATGAAGTTGGTGAAGAGGCCCAGCGCTTACCACCCGTCCCACGGCCCCATGCGGGCTCAAAGATGGAAATGTTTATGGTGTGCCTGGCACTTAAATAAGTTTGCTGATGTGCAAGGGTTTATACAAGTCTAATGCCAATACTGCATTAATTGTGTACTAGCGTAGGCTGCTTACTGTAGTTATCCAGTTTGACAAATTTGTTTTTAGATTAAAAAAAAAAAATCCTGAACAGGCTAGGAGGTATTTTTTATATGGTATTGTAAAAGATACGGTGTGTATATTATTTATCACGATGTTGTAATAAATGTTTAAGGCACAGTTATGGCAGAGTTGGTCATGGAATGCAATGTGCATTAGTTTTTAAATATTCACTGGTCGTCTTATAACCTAAGTGCCATAAGCTACCTGTCCAGATAGATCCGTAATGTCTCCCCACTCATAAATTATAGAAAAGACCCTACAATTTTTCATATCCTGCAACCAGTAAACTTGAAGCGCTTCCTCCTTCCGTGTACAAACAGTTTATACTCCTGCCAAAACGCTGAGGTAGGTTGCTCTATGTGCAGCTTTAAGCGATCAGGTTAGCGGGGGGTTTTTTTCCATGTTTGTTTCCAAATGCTTCGGCTCCAGCAGAGCAGGGCGTTCAGCCTGTTGCTGCGGGGTTGGAGCCGCTGCCCCTGAGCTGGGCGGGTTTGGTTTCCTCCCGCTGCAGCAGACAGGCAGGTACCTACGGCCCTCGGATAAAAAAAAAATGAAACTGGCCTCCGCTGCTGTGGCTTTGCGTGAAAATGTAGTTTTTGGAGACTGAGACTTACTGGTTCAAAAGCCAAATGTACGTACAGCATGGGGGGGGCTTGGAAAGAGAAAGGAAACAGGGAAAAATAAGCTACTTGTAACAGCACAATCAGGTTATTTTATTTAAAAAAGAAAATGGTTTAAAACATTATTCATTGGGGACAAAGGGGTAATAGTGATAACTGAACTTTAAAACTGCTTTACAGTAATTTTGATTAAAACCTCTCCCAAAGCTACTTGTTGTACTGCTTGAACATGTATGAACTTATAAATAAAGAGATGTAGTTTTTTTAAAAGGTGTTATTCATTACATTACTAATGTATTGAAAAAATATGAACAGGAACACCCAGATATATATATAGTAGAATAGTCATTTATAGAAAATGCCTTATAAAGTACATTGCAGGTACACTGTACTCCTAATAAAATATTTTTTAATCAAGTGTTTTTCTTAGCGTTTTACATGAAAACAAATAGCGGTTTCTGTGGCAGACGCTATCATTTCAGGAAGCCGTTTGTTCTGAGCCAGGCACGTGCGGAACGGCGGGATGAGCGCCTGGTGCCATCGGTCCGACAGGAGCACAAACAGGCGGAGCGGCAGCTAGGGCTGAGGTGGGAGCAGCAATAGCGAAGGATGCTGAAGGTAGGAATATTTCCCTAATTTGGCTCTGCGAGAGTTCAAGCAGCTTACTCCAGTTCACTTTTTTTTTAATTCCCTACTCAGTTTTATGTATTCCTAGAATCCATAAGATGGAAAATACTAACTGGGAGAATGTTTTGCCCTCATGTGGTCTATTGAATCTGTTACAGCTCTTCATCTGCTCTCTCTTGGCTCAGAATGGAGGCACTAGAACTGCACTCCCAAGTTTTTCTGGGTGGCAAAGAACCTGTGGAAAGTTGTTCCTTTTAAAGAGTTTTTTAAAAATACCCATTTGGCTTATATTTTCAAGTAATAAACCAATGCTCCCCCTGCCCTTGTTAAAGGGAGATTGGTAAGGGGCTCTAAGATTTTATGTATTGGTTCTTACTCGTTTGGTAAAAGGGTTACTTAGCCATTACTAACAGCAGACAGCGCAGACGCATCTACTGCTGCAAAAGCAATCTGCATTCGCAACACTTCTCCATTTACACACCTAAAAATCTGTCTCTTCTACGCGCCCGAGCACTGCTGATCTGTACCTCCGTGTCTGTACCCCAGCACGCCCGCTTGTCTTAACGCAGTTTTCTTGTCAGCATTACCTAAACTCTAAAATCAAGATCACGCAAATAATAGATTCAGGGTTTTTATTAGTTTTCCATGTGAGCATTACAATTTATAATACATCATATCTAGTTTTACCTCCAGAATGAATCTAATTTAGTACATCATGGTATTAGTAAAAACAAGCCTGGTAAGTGGGCTAAACTTCCAACTAGCATCTTCAGATCCTTCAGACAAGGCAAGCTAGAATGTCAATCACCTTACAGACACCTAGGTAGTGTTTCCCAAAAACAACCCGGCCCCAAATTAAACTAGGAAGCGGATACCATTTAAAGCAGGAAAGATTGGTTTGGTCGTTCCCCTCCCCCCAGCAGAATTTAATCACCAGCTCTAGTTCTGCCTCCTGACAGTTTGGGATCCCAATTAAAAATCCTGGAGTCTGTTGGGACGGAACCGCGCCCACCGGTCGCCCGCGTTCCTTACCGGTAGCCGGGTCCCGGCTGGGTGTAGCCCTGGGGGCCAAAGGGCGGCCGGTTGCGGGCATAAGGGTTGGGCCCGCTGGGCGGGGGGGTGATGGTGCTGCCGGGCGGTGGGGTGAAGCCGGGCCGCGGCTGGTAGGTGCCGGGGGCCGCCTGGGAGGCAGGAGGCCCGCTATAGGGCGCGGGCTGGGAGGCCTGGGTGGTGTAGGGCTGCGGGGCCGGGGGCTGGCTGTATGCCGGGAACTGCTGGCCCTGCTGCGAGGGGGGCTGCTGCTGGCTGTAGCCTGCTGGGAAGGCAGAGAGCAAGGGGTGAGAGACTGCAAAGAACGCCCACATCCGCAGAAATACCTTTTTTTTTTTTTTTTTTTGGCAGTGGCAAACACAAAACAATACATAGGCACAGAGAAGGCAACCCAAGAACAAACGGCAAGGCTTCCTGCCCTTCGCATAAGCAGGCTGCCCGGCTTTTGGGGCGCTGCCCCGGCTGCACAGCGACACTGAAAATAGTACAAACTAGTTTTCCCATGACTGACAAGAAATAAAAAAAAAAAAAAAAAAAAAAACAAAAAAATTTTTACCATTTTTTCCCA